AATCGATTTGCCACAAGTCGTTTTTACCATACACATTAACTCTTCGCCTTGTATAATTTTTTCTCGCTGGTTTGTGTAATTCGTTCGCTATATCACGTTTAGACATTTGGAATTCGTTTTATTAAACCCGTTTCATACAATTCTTCGTAAATTGAAAGTATTTCGTTGGAAAGCCCTGTATTACCAGCAGCTTGCGAGGCTAAAAGAAGTCGTAACCTGTCAACCAGCTCGTTCGGATCATTCCAATATACTAGATTATGCGTTTGTAATTTCACACCTGAGCCTGTGGTGAATAGCTTGCTAATAATTTGTTCATACTTTGTACCACCTTTCCTAATTTTTGTTCCGTCCTGTGTTAAATGTGCTGAAGTTTGAATCAGTATGTCTTTATATGTAATTAAATCATTAGCTGTGTATTGCATTGGATATCTGGAAAACAATAACTCGCCAAGCCCTTGTGTCAAAGGATAAGAGTTTTCTCTCACAATTATTGCACCGTTTCTAAAATGTATTACTTCTGTACCTAATTTGATAATGCCTTGAGAATTTTTTTTCGGGCCATATACTTTATCTTTTTCCTGGTCTTCTAATTTACGTAAATTTGTGAACCGATCGTCAGACGTGTTGGAAACCATACCCTCGTCAACTTTGACAGTTTGTAATTTGTTTAGAGGTTCGATTATTGGCTGAAATGCTTGTGATACAAAAGATTGAATATCAGCTTTTCCATTTTTTAATGCAGTATACTTGCGTTTAATATTTTCTTTAGCTTTAATCAATTCTCCGAGTACCTCACCTTTAGACGACATATTTGCGAATGAAGTGCATTATAAAAAAACCATAGTTTATATAACAACAAACGTATCGAATCCGTGGCGATATCGACCGTTATCGCGATCACTGTCTTTGTTTATGACGATAAATTCAAATCTCCCTTTACGCCAGCATGAAGTACAAAATTCTTTAAACTCGGGATATGACATATCACCGGAGCAGTGTTCGTTGTAAACATGTTTTAAGTTTGTCTCATCTTGTTTAAATAAAACAATAAAATTTGCGTTATCACGTAGAAGTTGTTTAGGCACTTTTGAATAACTCTGAGCTAAATAGAACACATCTACTAAATTATGTCGACCTCTGGAAAAGTAGGTTCTTGCAATCTTTTGGTTTTCAGTTATAATATCATCGAAAATAAACACAGAGTTTGGTAAAGCTTTTTCAGGTTCAATAACTTGTTCGTTTTCGTAGAATGTAAATAATTGTATTCCGTTAATGTCTGATAAAATATCACTCAATAATTTATATTTTGGTTGATCCAATGTTTTTGAATATATGTAGACGTTGTGAAATCGTACACCGTTTATATGTGTTAATAATGTGAATATTAAATTAGTTTTCCCACAACCTGAAGGGCCCATGATAAGTGCTCTAATCGTATTAGGTAGAAGTACACCATGTCTTTGTTTTTTATACGAAGTAGGCGGATCCACGTTTTCAACTGTGAGTTGTATATCTTGTTTAACGAATTTCATTTTTTAAATATCTCTGTAACACTGAGAACGTGATCAGTGTACGATGTCGCTCGCACGAAGAAGGACTACGAATGGTTCTGGTCTTATAAACACGCTTATAAATAAATTACCATTAGAGATTCACGTGCCTGGTGAGAATAAATACGCGTATATTAACGCAGTAATAGTAATAATAATAATATTTCTTATAGGTTATCAATATTGCGGGCCTGGGACAAATTTAAAAAAACGTTTAGCTCGAGGAGATAAAGGTGTAAATCCTTTAGACGCTGCGTGTAGGGATCACGATATTGCATACGACCGTAGTAACTCTATAACAGATCGAAACCAGGCTGACTATATATTAGAGCAGCGAGCCTGGGATAGGTTCAAGTCTAAAGATTCTAGTTTAAAAGAAAAAGCTGTGGCTTGGGGCGTAACTACCGCCATGAAAGCAAAACGTAAAATCGGGGCTGGATGCGGGTTTAAAGCAGCCATCAAAGCAGCTAAAAACACAATAAAGAAAAATATCGGCGAAAAAAATCTTATGAAATTAAGTAAGAAATGTGTAGCCGTCGCACGAAAAACATTCAAAAATAAAAAAACTAAAGTTCCAAGGATTATATCAATTCCGAAAAAGGGCGGGGTGTTACCGCTCATTCCGATTTTTGCCGGTTTGTCAGCACTAGGAGCACTGAGTGGCGGTGTTGCTAACGTTGTCAAGGTTGCTAACGAATTTAAAAGAAATACGCAATCTCATTTGGGCGGCGGATTATATATCACGCCGTATAAGGGCAACTCGTATAAAATCGGATCAGGTTTAAATCTCGCACCATATAAAAGTGGAGGGAGTGTAAAAACGAAGAAGACTATAAAAATTACAAAAAACTAATAGCTACGTTACCCCGTCGAGCCCTGTACGATTACGAGCTTATAAAAATGGCTCGTTTGATTAAAATACCTCACTTCGTCGGTGTGTTTACCCGAGATAGGTTGCCTGTACGTTGTAAACGAATAGAATCAGCGATTGTTAACTTGGATACAGAAAACGGTATAGGTACTCACTGGGTAGCGTATAAAAAAATCGGGAATAAAATTGAATATTATGACAGTTTCGGAAATTTGCCACCTCCATTAGAAGTACAAAAATATTTTCACGGATGCGACATCAATTTCAATTACAGCAGAGAGCAGAAATATAATACTACCAACTGCGGGCACTTGTGTTTAAAATTTTTATCATGTACACGTTAACATTAAACGGTACCTCAAGTGAATTGTCATGCGACATTTTTCCACCGCTAGAAGTAGAAAGCACATCACAAATATGCCTTTTGAGCCTACAGACAAATAATTCAATACCAAACATTGAGCCCGGCTGTAATACTATCGGTTTTCGTAATATGATCGGACAAAGAGAGGATGTTATCATACCTACGGGATCGTATGAGTTTGATAATTTAGAGAGTGTTATACAGAAAAATATGCCCGAATATATCGAGTGGTTTGAATTAAAAGCAAACAATACCACATTAAAGTGTATACTCTCGTGTAGTCATGACGTTGACTTATCAGTTGAACATAGTATAGCGAAATTATTGGGTTTTAGAAATGAATTATACACTACTGGTAATAATTACGAATCTGAAAGTACAGTCAAGATAATGAAAATCAATAGTATAAAAGTCATGTGTAACTTGATTACTGGCTCATTTTGCGACGGAGCACCGAGTCAGATCATACACGAGCTCTATCCAACTGTTCCGCCAGGCTATAAAATCGTCGAGGTACCTAGACATCCTGTTTTTTATGCTCTCAACACGACTTTGATATCTAGAGTGTATATCGCGCTAAAAGATCAGAACGATTGTCTAATAAATCTGCGCGGTGAACCAATTACGATTCGATTACAAATAACGTGTGGAAATGGCACTAAAGTTTAATATAAAAAGATCTACAATCAAAAAACCAGTCAGTTTACCGACTGCTGTTAAGAAGTCAACATCTAAACCGAAAAAAGGCGAAATCAAGCTCACGAAAAATAATTTAAATTTTCTACGTTCGTTGCAAGTATAAGAAAAAAATAATTATGGACGACTCGTATTTAGACGTTGGGGTCGATTATGTCGACGAGTGTAAAATAACGCAAAAGCATTATCATTCGTTCACTCCGTACTCGAACCTGTCTTTATCGAATAACGATGAAATTAAGATAAGTGTTTTAAATATGGATGCGTACACTTTACCGTGTGAAAGCTATATTTACATAGAGGGGAGAGTAAATAAACCTGTCGATGCTGTTGGAGAAGTACGTTTTTCAAATAATGGATTGGCGTTTTTATTCTCCGAAATGCGATATGAAATAAATGGAGTAGTAATACAGAAATTAAAAACACCTGGAGTCTCATCTTGCTTAAAAGCATACTGTTCGTATACTCCAAACGATTTGAATACGTTAGAGAGCGCTGCTTGGGACTCGGCTATGGATGGCGAAGATAATAAAAACTTTATGAGCAGCAATGTATTTACCGGGTGTATCCCTCTAAAACATTTATTCGGCTTTTGTGAAGACTATAAAAAAATATTACTTAATTGTAATCAACAATTGATTTTAAATCGGGCGTCTACCGATCTGGACGCGATACACGTTGTTGGCGAGGGTGCAAGCGGAGCCGTTGAAAACAATAAAAAAATTACAATTGAACTTACTAAGGTAGCATGGAAAATGCCTATTATCAAAGTTAGTGATAAAGAAAAATTAAAGTTGATAAAAGTGATAGATTCTTGTAAAACACTATCGTGTGCATTCCGCACGTGGGATCTTAACGAGTATCCCATTCTTCCTAGGAATACTTCACATTCGTGGACGGTAAAGTCCAGCAACTTGTTAGAAAAACCTAGGTTTGTGTTGTTTGGATTACAAACAGATCGTAAAAGAAATATTGAGACAGACGCCGGGCGCTTTGATCACTGTCAGTTAAAAAATCTTAAAGTTCACTTAAATTCTGAAGTGTATCCATATGAAGACTTTCGTGCTGATTTTAAAAATAATACAACTAGTATACTGTATAAGGCCTATACAGACTTTCAAAAATCGTATTATGAGAAAGAGTACAGCGAACCATTATTATCAAAACATATTTTTCAAAACTATTCACCAATCATCGTCGTCGATTTATCGTGTCAAAACGACAATGTGAAGTCGTCAACCGTAGACCTGCGTATTGAATTTGAGACGGATACAATTATTCCAGCAAAAACTACAGCGTACTGCTTAATATTACATGACCAGATTATAACTTATAGCCCGTTTAGTGGAGAAGTTAGAAAATTGTAAAAATGTTTATATATTTTTTTTTTTTGTAAAATATTGTGACCTTATGCTATATATATTATAACCTTATTATTATTAAATAAAAAAAACTTGTTTTTAAATATCACGCTTGTTTTTATTTTAGACAAAAAACAACTAAATTAGTATAAAAATAATTAATTATATTGTGGTCCAAATGGTCCATCGTTTTCCGAAAAGCCTTCCTGGTTGTTCTCGAGGTAGCTCTCTTGTGCTGACGGGGACAAGGGCGAGACTGATGATAGATTTTCCTGAAAATATTTGAAATTTAAATATGTTTTGTGAATATAATTTATAACTGTTTATTACCTGTTCATATAAACTGCTGAACGATGGTGGTGGTGGAGAAAAAGTCATAGAACACGGTGGTGGTGGAGAAAAAGTCATAGAACGCTCGCTATTGTATCCCTGTAAAAATTCAGTTTATTAATATAACATAATAATATAAGTTATTAAAAAAAAATATTCATACCTCATCTTTTTTCACTTTGTTAATCCATTTTTGTACGATATAATCAGTTGCGTATAATTTTACTTGATTTGTGTAAATGTAATCGCTCTGACTAATACCATATTGCATTGCCTCGTCAATAACATGACTTTGGATAAAGCTATTATCGATGTTTCTCACATGAGTTCTCAATATTTCGAGTACTGAGCTTTGTAGCGGTACGTTTATTTTTAAGAATGTAACGATTAACTCGATATGATGTAGTACGATTGGTTTAACTATTTCGGATTTTCTTTTAATAATTTCAAAAATAGCACATTCTAAATCTTGTAAGACCAGTAGATCTGTACGATTTAACAAAACGCGACATCCGTCTTGAGTTTTCGATTCTAAAACAAGTGTGTTCTCCGATTTATATATCATACTAGACATTGTAATTGACTCTGTCTCCAAAAATAAAATTCGTTTGTGTTCGTGTGGACGGTCAAGTACGAACGATAGAATGTTTCCCATAAATCTGAATATGCGTTTCAGAAAATCGATGGGAATATTTACATGCCGCGAAGCTGTTATAATATGAACCGCTGCTTTGAATTCATCGGTAGGGTCTAGTCCAATGTTTAAAAACTTCCGAGCCGTGAAATCAATAGTCAAGTTACTGCAGTCGATCAGATTAGCTGGCGGCGATGGTGGTGTATATTTGTAAGTTTTCTTGTATATATTTTCCATATTTTCAATTGGACCAGCCATATTTATTTTACGCACTGAGAAATAATTATGATTTTAACACTGAATATGAGACAAGCACACGCGAAACACTTGGAACGATTATATAGAGTGACTGAATTTATGTTGTGTAGTTGTGTTCATAAACGAGCAAATTAAATATTAATTGGTGGGGGAGACATCGAAAAGTCCCTACAGGTTAATCGGGAGGGGGTAAATGGTATAGTGGTGGGGGAAATTATACCTCGCGTACGTAAGCGGACGCCGGTTAAATGAGATAGAATATACCTTCTCAAACAGATGCGAGTAGGCGGCCCAGTGGTACGGTTGTCGCTTATCATGCAAGTTAACCGGGTTCGAATCACGGTCCGGCGGATAAATTTTAAAATTATTTTCCACGCGCGGTGGTCATAGGTGGTGGGGTGGCGGGGGTACATCGTGTGTGATATATGGTGGGTTCAGCAGCCGTCAATGTATAGGGATGAGCAGACGGGTATAGTGGGATGAGCAGACAGGTATAGTGGGTTGAGCAGACGGGTATATTGGGTTGAGCATACGGTATAGTGGGTTGAGCAGACGGGTATAGGAATTTGCCAGCAGGATGAGGCGCCAGAACTCCCTTTTTTAACCTACTTATAAGGATTGAACATTTTAAACAATTTTCCACGTAAGTAGTTTATTCTGTAACCAAAAAATCTAAAAAATACATAAGCAAATTTTATTTTTATAGTTATTTTAAGTTCAAATTTGTACGAAATTATATAATAAAAAAACCTAGAATAACTATTCATAACTATCATTATTATTATTATTATTAAATTAATTACAATACGTAATGTAGTAAGCCAGTTACTACGTAATAATACCAATTTCATGAGTGCATAGTTATTATAATATACAATAGACCGGCATAACCAGATATTAACGAAATTAGGGTTCAAAAATAGGCGGTTGTAATATTTTACAGGAACACTGGGCACACACAACGAAATCCAAAAATAAAAGAATAAGGTGGTTATTTTATAATAATCATAGGGAAAACACTGAGTGCACACGACGAAATTCAAATAAAAAAGAGTAAAATGATTATTTTAATAATAGTCATAATTTACATTCAATCGTAATGCGTGGGCTGGAATAATGACCACACAAATCACATCCGTGAAAACTTTGATTAGGTTAGGTTAGGTATTAATCTATAGGCGAGGGGCACGGGGAACTTCATATATAAGGGAGCACGAATAGGCCTGTTTTCAGACGTGTATACTACCACCCATTAGTGCAAGCACATTCACGCCACTCTGTATGACAATATTTGGACTTAGTAAAATTATTGAAGTGTAATAATAAATTCACAACTATTCAACAACTGTTTATCTTATTTAATCATCAACTACGACTACATCATCAGAAGAAGTGTCTGCTACCTGCAACGTTAACGTACTGGTAGCCACTTATCTATTATTTATACTACAATAGTAGGCACCAAGCTGTCCAGCACGTTACAGTAATAACTTTTCTCGAAATATTTTTTTTGTGGGAATTTGCTGACATGAGCATATTTCTTAAATTATTTACAAATCATATAATTTTAACAATTTTTGTTTAGACGTTTAAGTAGCATCTTTTTTTGTCGTGATGTCTTTCTATTACACCTTGTATACTGTTTTCCAGTTAGAAGGAAAAACACCCTATTCGAATGATTGATTACAAAGAAATGTTATTAGAGGTGCAAGAATAAAACAACTATCATATAAAAACTCAATTTAAAAGAATAATTATTGTATGAACTGTTAACAATTGTTACACATAAGTAAAAGTCTATTCATACAAATCTTGAATTAAATTACAATTTATTGGCATAAATTATTTTAATAAAAATACCATAGGAAATCTTAGTGAATTAATTATACAGATTATACAGCTTACGTATCCATTTAATATGAAACTTAACTTCTGTAAAAATTATGATTGAATTATTTCTAAATGTACTCATGGCACTCTTTACTCCAGTTAAATAATAAGAATTAGAGTGGAAAAAGCTTATGCCCGCATTACTAAATACCACATCCATTCTTTTTCCTGAAACTCAAAATATTTTATATTAGTCGATGAGGTCTTACAAGTTACAAGGAATGGAACTAAGACGATAATCTTATGCCGTCGTACACTCGTACTTCAAAATAAGTTAACAGTAACAACAAATCACATTTTTGGTCTAATGGATCATTAAAAAGTAGAGTAAGGAGTTATAGTTTTCGTGCATTTATCAATGAAAACAAGCATCATGTACTACAAAGTGGCGCTATTAAAGTACGCTCGCTATGTACCTACATATTTGATACTTAGCTTGTTTGATAGATTTGTCATTTGTAGAAATATATTTTATATTTTTATACTAATTGTAAAATGTCATTCATCATATTATAATAAAAATTAACTTTATCTTCATATTAAAAGTGTCAACCTTCAATATGAATAGTGTTTAATACATTTAAGTGAGGTTTGTTAAAAACATCAATTTTAATGTTTAAATATTTTATTACCCAAGACTCCAGCACAAAACTTATCAAAAGTCACATAATATGATTGGTGTTCGTACATAATATCTCGGCAATATGTACGATCGATGTATGGTAATAATGTTTCCAATAAAATACGACTTGGCATACTGTCATTCGTACGTCCCCAACCAACAATCTGTTAAAGTAAAAATAGTTGTAGAATGCACCTACAATTATTATAACTAATCACTTTTTATGTGGCTTTTTGGAAAGTGTAAATTTTAATTAAATAGATTCTGACTGTTCAAAGTTTTTAAATTTTTGGATTCGATCAAATATTATATGAAATAAGATGATTGTTTAGCGGTTTTAAAATTATAATTATAAGGTTCAAATTTTAATTGTGTAGGACAACATGTCAATATTTATGAATACTTTAGCAGAGAATCTCTCGAAATTTTCTATTTACATATGGACAATGGTCGATAGTGATAGGTACAGTAAATCACAATTTTAATATTTAAATAATAGCAAGAACCAACCTTTCCTATATCTCCATTTTCCTCATTGTAATTACCATTCCAATCTATACAAACAGGTGCAACACTATTACTAAAATAAATTAGGTTTTTTAACACAATAATAGCTATATCTTCATCATAAATCGAAATATCTCCACAATAATCTTCTTTCAGGTAAACAATTTCCACCTATAGATACAATTATTTTAATTTATATGATATATATGAGATACCAATTATGTTTAGACTTTTGAATTATTAGTAACTTACATTTATTATTTGAGTAAAATTATTATTGTCAATATTCGTGATATTTCCGTCATATTTTCCAACAGCGATTTTATATAGACCTTTGGGTATTAATATTCTTTTGGATGACATACCACTTTTCCAAAAACAATGAGCCGCTAAAAATTAAATTTATTAAACTTGAATTCCTCCATCAAACTTTGCCCTGTCCGCCACGGGGTTTTTTCATAAACACAGTTTTATCAATTTAATGAAATATTGATTTAAAAAAAAAAACTAATTATGATATTTACAAGCTTGAAACGCCTACTGAAAGTGACAACACTTTACATTTTAAAACCAACGAGAAAATACTGATTATTGAGAAATATAACGAGATTTCACTGGAATCGTTTTCAGTAAGATTTCAGATGAGATCTGAAAATCCAAATAATTTTTTTTTTTTTGAGATTTAGAATTCGATCTCGTAGCAAATTTAAGTAACATAGTGAAAACCCCCCTTTTCGGACAATATGTTAAATTCATTTTACAAAGATTTTAGTGGAGTGGTTCATTACGAAACCCGTTCTGTGTGTACGCACCGGTTGGTGTCAGTAACTCCCGGATAGGTGACCAAACGGGATTTTTAGTTATAAATCCTTGCCACACATACACTCACGTATTAAAACCTACAGTATCCCAAAATAATGACCTCAGTGGTTAATAACTAATCCCCAATAAAAAAAAAATAAATATTTTACTCGAGATGACTAATTTTGAAGAAATAATTGATCCTCCGCAAATTAAGTCATAATTGGAATTACTTTTCTTGAACCCATATACTCCAACGTTCCAAGGTGCCGTTCCATAAAGTGCTTTTTGACCATTGTTGATCAATACTTGGTTTGTATATACTCTACCGCAATCTAAAATAATATCAGATACATATAAGATGTAATATTACTACCTAAATAGAAGGTTTATATTTAGAATAATATGCGTAACTGTGGAATCTATTAGTTATTTCTTATTACACAAATGTATAAATAATATTAAATTTAATATTATAATTTATAACTATTATTTTGTACCCAAGGTCATATTTTTTCCTTTGTCGTTTAGAGCACACAACTTGTAGCTCTCGTCTGAA